TGGTTAGGGAAGGTTAGGGTTAAAGCATCTAAATGCACGTACAAAGTGCCTGAAAGAAAATGAAACTAAATGTGGTATCTGTATAAATGTGTGCTTGACTTTTTAAACTGAGCAGGTGTGCCCCGTTTTTGCACGTGACCTGAGAAATTATTTTCTATAATAAAGTCATCATCGTATCAAATAAAAAAAAAAAAAAAAAGAAAAATTGACAGAAGCAAAAGTGGCCATGGCCAATTTGCTCACGCGAGTAATTACCTCTTGTAGCACAACACCGGGCAATGGTTCTTGTTAAGAGAGTTGGATCTGTTTCATGGAGCGGAAACGTACCAAGTGTACCAAGCACAAGAACCATTTGCTTTACCAAAATGGCTCAAAAAGTTTGACAAACTTTGTATGGGGTGCATTATGTAAAGCATGCGCATCGTGAGAAATTGTCTGCGCACCTGTTTCACTTTCACTACCTTCACCTCCGAATGCAGCTCACTTGTTACGAAGCACTATTAAAGTCTTTCCAGCTTTACTGTGCTCTTTATATTTTTTTTCTTGTAAATAACAGTTTTGGCCACAATAAGCACATAAATATTACGGCTACATTTTCAAAACTTCAGAGGTCAGTCAGTTACACATGTCAGATCAAAACTCAGAAAAGACTGTTCTTTGCACATGCACAGATACACAAATGGTTTCCCCCTTTTAACATTATTTATTTCACGACTGTACATAACATTATCTTATTTGAAATGCTGCAAGGATCAAATTTGGAAATACTACCCAGCTACGTTGTTGCTGAGCAAATGGATATATTTGGAAGAATAAACGCACAGTGACAAGCACTCTTGGCACAGCTTTCTTGCCTTGTTAATTTGTTAATGTAAGGTGTGTTTTCAAAAATGGGGATTTAAGGAAATGGTGTGACGTACATGCTGAAAACTATACCACTTATATTCTACTCTTGAAGAGCAAAAGTCCAAAGATGTACCTTCTGGACGAGAAACTCTCTCTTTAAAGACTTTTTTGAATTTGAAGAATAATGTTGGGAAATACAACCAAAACAAAATAAAAAACAGATGGGAACAAAACTTGGATGCTTGTTCAAAAGTCAGATACCTTGATGAAGCATTTTCCTCCCTGGCTATGTCTTAGAGATGCTGACCAAGACCACAGTGACGTTATCTGAGCTGCCACGTCGGATGGCCTCCGACGCTAGCTTGCTGCAGGCCAATTCATATTTTGTCTCATCCAGGGCTTTTCCAGGAGCCGGTTTTATTGTCTTGTCCTGTTTTCCATAACATACAAAATAAGGTTTAATATGACTTTAAAGAGAGATTTTCACATGCTCAACATCTTCCAGGTGGGACAGAGAATATGGCTTCTTACAAATTTTGACGTCAACCAACAAAAGAAAGATGTCATTTATTCCTTCCTTACTGGTATTACTCCAATGCCAAGTTTCACTCAATTGAGCATTATTACTAGTTAAATATATGTTTCAGCTCCGGGGTGCTGACTACAATGTGCTAAGATCGCTCTCAACTGGGCAAGCATAACCAAATATGTCACCAATTTTCGCTTCTGACAACCAGGGCCCAATTTCACGGCACTACTTACCGCAAGCGAAAAATCGGCACCGACTGTTGCGGGAAATTCTGTGCTTACGGCGAACATATTTCGGGTTAGCGAGGAATTTGGGATTGCACGCATGCGTACATCCCGTAACCAAGGATTCTGTGCCGTAAGCAGCGCCATGAAATTGGGCCCAGTTCAAATCAATCCCGACGAGAATCAGCCGCATACCTCAAGGACGTTTTGTATGAACTGCAATGCTGTGTCTGAGCTGAATCCCTTCCACAGCCCGTCGCAGGACAGCAGCAGGTAGCGGTCGCTGTCCGCCAGCTGGCATTTCTTGATGTCCGGCACGCAGGAGACGCCGCAGTGCTTGAAGCGGCCATCGCCTATGGATCGCGAGACCTCCAGGATGCCCTGCACACGGCCGTCTCTAGAAACCAACATGGAGTAGACATGACAGTACACAAGATACTTTGCCAAGGTGCTACCACTCCCAAGTACTTCTTCGTACCCCAAACTTCCGTCGTTTACAATTCTTGAACAAACTCGTCAACAGTAAATGAGTTGAAGTTTCAGCGAGCACCAGTGAGGCTTGGAAATCACAACATGGTCCAATGATGCGGACTGACAGGCTTTTTTTCAGTATCAAATTAGGCAGCAAAATTTCGAGTGCCATGTAAAACATTACAAATCGGCCTACAGTCCTGGCGAAGACGGCATGGCTGAAAGTCGCGCATGCACTTATGAAAGGCGGACGGCTGAGGCCACTTTTCCTAGACTGGTGCGGCTACTGCTAGCCCTAGCCAGTAATTCAGACGTGGACTTACTTGACTGTACCGCCCGCCTTCTGTATCCTCATCCTCTCTTCGTACATGGTGGGGTTGTGCTCCTTGCTCAGCGGGATCAACGACAGCTTCTGGGTCTGCTCGTTGAATCGACACAGCATCGCCTGTAGCAACAGACCATCACATGACATCAATTTCAAGAATGACACAAACAACTAGGGTCTTGTGAAGTTCATCACTGATGCATACGCTCGGTCGATACGTATATTGAAGGAGATGTCACTCTTCCCAACATTACTGTGTACCAAATTTGAAAGTACTCTTGTGAGAAATTCCGATCGAAGCCTGGAACTCACATATTCACTTTTTGGTTGTAAATACACATTTTGTTCTGCAGTTAGCTTGTAAGGATGCTGATGACAGCCACAGCCAACTGACCAAGATTAGAAAAGAGCAGACCTCAATTGAGCAACATACTGCTACAAAAGCCCATAAAGGTAGGGGTGCACCAGCCCTTGTACACAACCTCACGGTGCCAACGACGGGATGAGTTTCACTTTGCACAAATGTGGCTGACGTTTGTGAACATCAAATTAAACAAATACAAAACGACTGTAGACAATGGTTACATCTGCTTGAGTAGAAGAGACGCCATTATTTTTCTGTGGCAAGGGCTTAGACAATTCCGAGAAAGGCATGCTTTAGTTAAAGGTATAATCTCTTGACATCAAACAGACAGTGTGACAACTTTTTCAGAGCAACCTTTATGTTTAGACTAAGTTTCGTGTGGATGTTTTCATGTAAAGTTCACAACGGACACATCCTGTCTTATTTTTCCCGTCTGCCTCAAAATGGCATCCAAAATAGAAATAAAAGTTGAATGAAGTTTCTGAGGCTGCATGTCGGATGCCAAGGAGCTCAGATTATACCTTTAAGCAAAGCCAGAGGGGTAGAGGACCTTACTATCACCCAGGTTGGCAATGTACAAGACGTTATTGACTGCCATTACGCAGACTGCTGTGGAACCATCCTTCCAAACTGGTTTCCTGGAGGATTCAGACATGGAGATTGTCAACAAGTAATAATCAAATGAGCTCAAAGTTTTCAACACCTTAAGAGTAGTTTATATTATCCAATGATGGTTTACAAGGTGCTTGGGTATAAAGGATAGAGGGTAAAGGCACCTTACCATATGTACGTTTTTGGGGTGCGTTGCGTACGCGATGCGTTCATGCATTTCACTTTCACGGACAGACAAATCGACTACATTAACATAACATGCATGTGCACTGCGTTGGCAGTCAAAATTACCCCGGGAGCAATTTTGATGGATACGCAACGCTTGGCGTAAGTGTTGGCGCACATATGGAAAGGGGTCTTATGGCTGCAGTTTTCAGCTGATGTATGGAACATTTGATACAGGAATTGAGATTCAATTATCAGGACGATGTCTGAGTTTGAAATTCTGGTCATCAGACGGCACCCGCTGACAGCTGCTGCGGCAACCAACTGTTGTTGCTGCTGGCACCAATGCTGCTGCAAGCTGCTATTTGATACACCTGCTGGTGTAATCACTACTCGGGTCAAGAATGAGGAGTTCCATCAATGCCCTGCTGCTGCGACTGCAGCGGCTACTTCACTGCTGCAGCCATCGCCGCTTCAACGGCAGCAAATACCGCACCAGCTGCAGCAGCCACTGCCATTGGCCTTCTGGAGGAGGCGCTTCTTAAACCTTCCATGAACGTGTTGATCTTACTGGGCAGAGGCCTGCTTCAGGAACGCCTCGTCGGTCAGCTTGAAGGTGTCGAGCAGGCAGCGCTTGATCTCTTTGTCATTGTGGCCTGTGTCGGTCTTGGGGAATTTACCGAAGAGGTTCTGGTGCAGTGTCTGAGCTGCGTGCTGGGATGCCCTGGCCCCGCTGTGGCCGTCAAACACCGCAAAGTAAGCTATTCTGGACCTGAGAGAGCAAGAAATACAAACAGAGGAATCAGCTGGCTGAAATGTTCATTTCCCCAAGGCATTTCTAACCATTCTCAGACAATGTAAGCGAGTTGCACTGAGGATGACAACCATGTCAGAATTCTAGGCAATCCTTCAGGAAACTCTACTAAAGTTAATGAAATTGAAAATCACCTTTGACAATCAGGGCACAAGACAGACCACACCAAGGTGACAACCAGGGCACAAGACGGATCACACCAAGGTGACAATCAGGGCACAAGACAGACTACACCAAGGTGACAATCAGGGAACAAGACAGGCCACACCAAGCTGACAATCAGGGCACAAGACAGACCACACCAAGCTGACAATCAGGGAACAATGCACATCATTTTAGTCACAACAAAGTTCACAAGTCAAAAGCAGCCGTTGACGACTGACTCTTAAAATGCATTCACACCACATTAAGTACAAACTTGCCAAGCAAAGCCTGGCAAAAAAAATGGCTGCTTTAAAAACAAACCCCCCAAAGCAAAAGAAGAATGTTGCCCTCAAGCTATAACAAAGCAGTTATGCACAAGACAACCCAACAAGGTATGTACAAACTTCACTGAAAATCCCCCCCCCCACCAATAAAAAAACACCCCACATGCTAAAATGTTGTGAGTTTCTTTTACACTGTGGAGGGGAGTGTACTGAAGCTTTCGGTGCAGTCATCCAGCAACGTGCACGCGTCCTGCATATCTTCACGTTCTCCTTTCCTCTCAGCTGAGAAACTCTGGAACTGGTATAAACCTGTCAATTGGACAGCAAAACGTAACATTGAGACACATTTCGGACCTTGCAATGTGGGTAATGGTATTATACAAGTACAACCTTTCTTTTGGACCAAGTGAGCCTAATGCTAGTGTAGCGTGCCTCAAAACCTTACTGATGGCAACTTTGACTCCTTGAACGCTAACAATTCATATTTTTTTGATGTGCATTTTCCCTTCACGAGTTTAAGGGTTATATTTAGAGATGTTCAAGTACCACATGAGTACACAGCGGGTCATATTCAAAACTCAAGTGAGGATGTCCTACAACGTAAAAGCACAAAAAATTATGTTTCAATACAAATTTTAAGTTCTTAAGACCTGAGGTTACCAAGTTGCATTTCTGCACACAAAAAAAGTGATTCTACCAGACACCTACCTGACCCTGCCGAGACTCGTCTTTTCAGCTCCGGCTCCCCTTCTGTTGTCTCTTCCGTCTTCCTCTTTCCTCCCTGCATTGCATCTTCTGCCACCTTTTCCATGCTGAATATTGCTTCACCGGTTGGTGAGCTTACTGCAGTCTCACCTTCCTGATTCCCAGCATCCATGGTAATGTCTAAAAAATTATGCATAAGGAATACTGTAATGCATCATAATACTTTACACAGGTCTACATTGTATTTTAATTTTGGCAAAGTTAAAACTTCAAAATGTTTGAGGACCCTCTCCATTCAATCTTATTTTACTGACAATATTCATAGCCTAGCAAATGGATATGACACAAACTCAACATTTGTAGTATAGCATTGACGATACAGGGCCAACCCCTAGAATCACTGGCTACGATGTTGCGTTGAATAGGAGTGACTCTGTCCAAATCGACTACCCGGTTGGAGGCTACACGGCTAGTCAAAAGAGTTCTTTTTTAGAATGAAGCAACAGAAAATGAATGGAGATTGTCAAAAATATCTAAGGGAAGTCCAAACTGAGTGGCCCTGTTTTTACAGTTGTACCTTACGACCAGCATGAGATGCATCTGTTGTGATGTTGAGATATAAAACAGTATCTGGCCATTGACGAAAGAACCAAAATTTCAAGACCTCATCACTAAAATCATGAAAAACTGAGCCTGAAACTTGAGCTGAGCCCGAGCATGCCGAGGTCATTGGAGGTAGGCTAAATAAAGTCAAGTCTGGGTAAGTGCTTTAGTTAACAGTAAGCTGCGGTACTCAGTGGTAGTCCTTGTTTACTTTATAGCACAGACTTAACAACAGCAGTTAGGGCCTACACAACCCGTCCAGTCATGCCAGTGGTAGCGGGCTGGCATGGTTGGTTTTGCTTGCACTCGCTCAGTCATGTCACTTTCGGTCGGTCACGCTTCAACTTAATGAAAGGTCTTACATTCGTCAACTCTGAATACAACTTTTATATACATCGGTAAAAGTCCTTTTCAGCAGTGTAGAAATAAAACATATGTATTTAAAAATAATCAGAATTTTAAGTTTGGGCCACAATATTTACCTGAATACTTGCGAAAAAAGTCCACCTACGTGCCACAGGTCGGAAATTTTTGTACAACCTGAAATGCAAACGTGATTCCAGAGTCCATACCAGTCTTGTTCATACATTGTTAACATAGGACAACAGAGCACCCGACTAGAAAACGGGCTACGGGGGCGCTATACCCAGCAAGAAATGACACCGAGGGGTACCCCCCCCAACATGTCCAATCCCTATACACATTCCAGACTATTGTTACTTAACACATCCCCCAAGATGTCTGAAAGGAATCCCCCAGATTCTTGCAAGACAATGACCAACACAAAGCAGGGGGGGTTTCTCTCCGTCTCATACCTTGCTGCATATGGGGGGCGCTGTGGCTTTTTTTGGGGGGGGGGAATTTTCACGCTTTTTTTACCCTGGGGTGGCGGCTGAAACCGCCGGCTTGATCAGTTGTCAGACGGTAAAGTTAGAAAGTTCAAGTTACGCCAAGACGTATTCCAGGTAAGCGGAAGAACCAGTGCACCAACGAAAAGAATCTTCTCCAAAATCAGATGAGCCAGTGTTTCGAGATGAGCGTGCGGCGCCGGCGTATCTCCTGAAAAAGGGAAAACGGTCTGTGTTTTATTTGCGTATTTTTCCATAATCGCTGGGTATTGGTGGCTTACTGCCGGTGCGCGCGCGGGCACCCTTGTGATTGGTGAAAAGTGAAACAGGTGAAACGAGTAAAATCTCGTCTCAGTCTCAGACTAGAGCGCGCGAAGACACGCAATCTACGCCACATCACGAGTAAGGAGATGTACGAACTGAAGACACTGCCATTCTGCTGCGTCACCGGAAACCAACGGCGAGCTTTGACACAACAGGCTACCATTTGCTGCTGCAAATGGCAAATTTCTAGCGTCAAAGCAGGCGAGCATTCGCGGGCAACAACAGTTTAGAAATTGGCATACCCGGCATTTAACTTGTGCGATTAATTTTTTTTTTCATTTGCCTTCACGTGAGATGAAAAAAAAAATCACTTTTCAAGTATCCATCCCGAGCAAGTTCGCGAAAATTGTAAGTTTCGAGATATACGCCAATGGCTAAAAATAGGGAGAAACCGTCAAAAATTGACGGACGCATTAGAAGAAGTTCACATAAAATGGATACAATATTTGTGAGACGAGAGCAGTTTCTACGTTTTTGGACCAACTCGGCTGTTCCATTCCCGATTTTTGGGAGAATACGATGCGCATGTCAAGACATTCATTATCAATACAAATGTGGAATTTCAACTGAATCCAACATTATGGTTTGGTTAAGTCATTTAATATGTTCACGGCCCTCACGTGTCAGCCCATTTTAGAAAGTTGTCCACTCTCGAAAATGAACTACCGGTGAAACATTTTTACGGAAGAGGGCGAAGTTGTATGAAAGCAAGTACATGTAAAAGTAGGTACGATTTTGTGACTGCAGAAAGTTTAGTTTCAGTGGCTTGGATAGAGAAGTGACGGGGCGTCAAATCGAAACGTGTTGAAAGTGGGGACGGCAGAAATATATCCCTCCATATCCTATAGGCACGGCCTGCCAATGATGGAATTTAATCCATACCAAGAGAATAAAAATACTTCGTAAGTAGGCCGACATAATCAATAACTACATTGCAATGGCTTTGAAACCAAAGTTTACTTAGAATAAATGTATCATTTATTTTACGTTAAGAAACAGTGTCAACATGAATACAGAACTTGCAGTAAATTATACTCAAAATTGAGTCGATCAACAATTAATTCAAAAATTCCAGTCTGATTTCACAATGGAATAGGACATGAAAAATCCTATGACATAATTTTTCCAATTGGATAAAAGAAGAAAACCAGCACAAATTCAAATAAAATGTGCAAATTGTGCACTTCCCAGTTCAACATCAAGGAGTATGGAAGCATTGTGCCGTCATTGGTGTTAACTGGTGTTTAAATACAAAAGAACTTTAATATTTGGTCACACAAAACACCTTCAATTTTTCCTGGCCCTTTCCTGCTTAAGTTAATGACAAAAAGAGTCAATTATAGTCAGTCAGTCTTGCAAGAAAAACAAACCTTGCTGGAAAACATGCTTTTTATGGGTTTTTAAGTGATGATTGGTCAAAACTGTTGAATAGAATAATGTGCAGTTTCCTACATCCTGGCAGTTTGCACTAAAACCCACTTTATCACATCTTTATCTTTTTCCGAAATATCCAATGTCGATCTTGTTAGGTAATACATGTAATAGGCTGTCCCATCTACTGTTTGCCCACCCTATGGTCCATTATAATCCTGGAAGCAAGCGTCAATCCCATCATATTTACAACTCTCTCAAATCTTCTGTCAGCCGTTCCGATTATCACTTTCCCTCCCTCTCCAATTCTGGCACAAGACGGTGCTAAAAGCTCAGCTCAGTAATTGGACCCATGTCTTGACAGCTTTCCCTGTTTGGCTATTCTGTTTATCTCTTGCCACCTCTTTTCTTGTCTGGCATGGCCTGCTTCTGCTTCAGGTCTTTGCTGGGGACGGAGAGATCATACTGGAAACCCTTCTTAGAAGCTGCCGCCTCTTTCTTTAACACCTGCGAAACAAGGACGGTACCAAACAAGTCTAGCCAGTGGCAGTTGTGGCAATGTTAATTAATTTCAGAAGCACTTGAACTTCTGAAGCCAGTGTTAAAACTAACTCTGATTAAACGCTGATGAAACGATCTCCTGATCTCTGAGCTAATTCACCCAAAAGATGTTAAATCTTGCCATGGTAATTTACGAGCCACAAAACTGACATTAGCCGTACGTATTCAGGTTTGTTCCAACCTCCTCTAGCAAACATTTGAAAATAGTTAGCAAATCTTCCCACAAAGTTGACTTATTTTAATGTTACTTTAACTTAACTTGAATAATCAAACTCCACTTGAATTTTAAAGTCTTAATAGCTTGAAGTAACAAAAAAAGACATCCACTCCGAACAAAATATGCAAAAATTTTCCAATTCAGGAAATAAATTGCATCATTCCATTTTACCAAAGAATGTTGAGTACTGCTTTCGACAATGTTAACAAAGTTTTTTTCTGTCACAACTGCAAAACCTCTGCAAAATCTAGACCAACTCACCCCCTTCATAATTCTGGACTTGAGTTCCGACTGGGTCAGGGGCCGCGTCTCCTCGTCGCTGAGGTCGGACCCTTGATCGCTGTCGTAGTCGTCACCGGTAGAGGGGGCCATGAACATCAGCTGTTGCGGCGCTGGGATGGGACCTTTGCCCAGCATGGACGGCACCTTTACGTCCTCTTTCTCCTTAGCACCCTGAAATGTACACGAGACAGTAGAGTTAGCAACAAGAAGTCTACCTGATAGTGTGTTTAAGCCTACGGTGAAATATAAGGACTGGGTTTAATTTCTACAGACTAGAGCAACTCTCACTCCCCGCCCACCCCTTTCTAGACTTTGGAGAGGAAAACCAAACAAGCTTTGCACTGTTTTATACTGAAACTGAGAGGGGCAAAAAAAAAAAAGAAAAAAAGAAATTGGAAAAATTGCAATTACTTTGCTGATAAGTTAAAGGAAACTACATTTGTTCAAGATGCATTTTTTTTGGTATTGCGGATATGTTAATTTTTAATAACGGTTTTGCATTTGTCCACCAGTGCATTAAAAGAGAATAACTGTTCGCATGGTATTTACACAAACATTGAAATCAAAATATTACTTTAAACAACAGTGTTATAATTATTGGAATGTAAAATATAATCAAAATAAATTAGTGTCACTCCAAGTGTCTGTTAAATGTAAACTCTTAAAGTTGGATTCTTGAAACGCGAAGAGTGCTGTGATTTTGTCCAACGTATCAGCAGTTTCATGCTGCCAAATCCCGAGTGATCGCCCAGCTCCTTTCCACACCGAGGCCACTGACAGGACTCACCTTGCTGTCCACGTACATGCTGACCGCCAGCAGTTCGTTGGTCCGTTGCTCTATCAGGCCCAAGTACTGCATGATGGTCTCGTCGGTCACTCCGGCTGCGCTGCCCAGCATGTTGTTGATGGTGGACCGGTCGCAATTGGTCTTGGAGAAGAGCGACTCGACGCCTGGAGACAAGAGAAAAAGATTTGGTGAGTCCAAATTCAAGGTACTCTTGGACATAAAAGTAGAATGTTGGGCCAAAAAGGATAAATTGTAAAAGAGAAAATGACTTACTTTTGATAAACAACAGTCAAATCATTTATTGAGGTTAATGAGCCACCACACATCTTGTCCAATTTCTAACTTCCAGAATAAGCACTGGCAGGTGCTGTCTCAAACTTTTCAACAATGACTGAGAAAGTTTCAAAAAATTGATTTCCCCCCCCCAAAAATTGACCAGATCTCTGACCATCTTCAGTCTAAATCCACATTTGAGGACACGAAGCAGTCAACTAGAAAGTTCCTAAGCAGTGAAAATTTGCTCCACGAAAAACTAAATGTTAAGAGAGGTATCTTGTTTGTGACTGATTGTACGGTGGCTTCGTTGGTAAGTCCATGAATTTTATTCCGCTCAGCAGCTCTGAGACATGAAGGCCCGACTTCTTAAAGCAGAAAATACCGCTGAGCAAAGTTTCATATTAAGCCTATACCAGCAGAAGACCAGTCAAAGGTGTCAATATTGTACGGCGTTTAGGTTAGTAATCTACTTTTGCTAAGCGGATACTTTCTGCACTGAGCAAAATTTCAGTGCTTAGCTCGGCTCTATGGCATCGCACCCCCTGCTGTTTTCTACCTGCTTTGAGCTGGTCCAGTATCTTGTTGACGCTCTTCAGCTTGGCATCGGAGGCGTCGGCGTCCTTGGCGGCCTGGGTCTGCTGCTCCTCTAGGCCCTTGAGGATGGTCATGCGCTGCTCCTCCATGGCCGAGCCTTGCCTCTTGAACTCGCTGATCTCTTCTTGGATCTATCAAGGGAGGGAAACCGATCAAGAGATTATAAGGGAGCATCTGGCATATACGTCCATTGCAAGCAGTGCTACCACCTGTTTGACAAGATTACATCAAACCTTCAGCCAGTTGCATCGGGGTTATGGTGTGTTCATCAAACTCACTCAAAAGGGAATGATGCTGTGGTCAATTCACACTCCATTTGGTTAGTTTTTATCGCTCAGTACTTTTGAATTCAAAGAGATTTTTTTCCAGAATATGCAACCTTAAAGAAGCATGACTTGTTTCCGTAATGAGATTTGCAAAAATCATGGCCGATAATCTCTGTTATCATAGTGTTAATCATAAAACAGGCTTACCTGTAGCATGAAAAACTATGACTACCACTGTCTTTCAATATAATCCGATAATCCGATAATCTCTGTATCATAGTGTTAATCATAAAACAGGCTTACCTGTAGCATGAAAAACTATGACTACCACTGTCTTTCAATATAATCCGATAATCCGATAATCCGATAATCTCTGTATCATAGTGTTAATCATAAAACAGGCTTACCTGTAACATGAAAAACTATGACTACCACTGTCTTTCAATTCTTTGTGAGGTTGGAAAATGAGGCAAGACTTTAACTGAGGAGAGCTGTCACTCTGAAAGAAGTTAATAGCGCTGGCAACCTATTCACAAAGTCTGACCCCGCAATTTTTCTGCCGAAAGAACGGAGAGTTTGTGAAAAATTTTAGAGAAGAAAAGGTGACAAAGGATGACTTGAAACCGACCTCGGCAATCTGGTCCTGCTGGATCTCAATCTCGTTGTTCTGTTCATTGACGAAGTTAAAGAGAGCAAAGTTGCGGTCCTCCACCTCGATGAACTTGTGGACCAGCTTGTTGAGGTCTGTCTCCTTGGTGATCTCTGCGATACGCTGGAAGGCTGCCTCGTACGCCTCGATGGAATCCTCCTGGCGCTCGCGGCGAAGTTTCTCACCTTCCTCAGCCTCTGTGAAGTTTAAAAAAACACTACATTAGGATTCAGTTCAGAAGAGGTTAAGGTCCCAAAGAAATGAACACATCTTGTATCTTTGTATGTAAACTACTTTTTTTTCTGATCTGATCTGTTTTCTGATCTGATTGCTGTTATTTCATTTCTCGAGGTACATGTAAAAAAATGGTGATCCTCACAAAAGCAAGCTTAACCCTGACAGTCCTCAGTCCTCAAACAGGTGGAGGATTGAGGAGTGTTAGGGTTAATCCCAGAGGGTAAACGATCCTAAACTCCGTATTGCAGCAATACAAATAGCCAGGCATGCACAACCATTAGCACATCCACATCATGCAACTGTGCTTAACTGGCAGCGTAATCTTCTGCTATAACAAGCAGTACCAACTTGTTAAGCGGCAGTATGGAATAAGCCTTTTGCCAGTTAAATGAGAATAAAATCTGGTACACTGAGTTGTCTGATTGCACATAAACATAACAATTTGAATTCTCCAGACTAAAGACACTGTTGCTATAGCTCATGATTCGGAGCAAGCTTTTGCTTAGCGACCGCCATCTTTGAAATGGACTGGTTCCTTTATGCCCTTCTTATCCATTGAGAACAGTGTAAAAGCTTGCCCCGAATCACGATGTATAGCTATAATGCCTTTAGTATGGAGAATTCAAATTGTGATGTTCGTGAGAATTGGAAGAATTAAGTGTACCAGATTTTATTCACATTTCACTCACAAAAGGGGTCCTTATTGGGCCCTGCTGGTAATCAGTGATCGCTGGATTGTCATCACATCCACTCTGAATGAATATTGAACAAAATTGATAAAAAGTGCTGCCGTACACCACTACTCATTAAAAATCGGCGAATCTCACCTCGCTTCTGTCGCAGCGCCACCAGCAGTTCATCCTCCTCGCGCTCCTTGCTCTTGACCGTCATGAACTCCCGCAGCTTGCGGTCGTGGTCAATGATGCGCTGCAGCTCCTTCATCTCCTGCTGGTGCTGGGCGCAGTCCTTGTCTGCCTTCTCCTTGAGTAGGATCATCTTGGCCTGGGCCTCGTCCCGAGCATCGTAGGCCTGGGTGGACTGGTCAATGACCTCTCCAATCTCCTGCCGAAGTTCCGTGAGTTCCTAGAAAATTAGTAAGAGGGATACAGAAATGTTGACCTCGAAACTCAAATCGATAAGGATGGTATTGTTTATAATGACGGCGTGTGGTAAAACCAGGGGGAAATTGCATCAAGCTGCCGAGTGCAAAACGATGCTACGAGCAGAGAAAAAATGCTCATAAATTCTGATCACCAGCCAAAGTTGCCATACAAAGTATATCAGTTGAGACTGGTCCTACGCTCATTTTGCTCAGCACAAAAATCTGCAAAGCCATGTTTGTATGCTTTTCCAGCTCAGTGACACTAGGCCCGGGAAAAGCCACAAGTAAAGCATTATTTCCATATGGTTGTTTGTAATGCAGACGGTCCGCAAGACATCAAGACGCAGACAGTCGCGGAAAAGATGCTGTGCAACATCATTCCACCCAAAAAAAAATGGCATCTGAAACTGAGAAAATTTTCGCAAAAAATGCCTTTCTTAGGTGGAAATGTCACCTCTTGAAGCCAAACTGATTCTCAAGTTTGATGTAATTTGTGAATAGTCAGCTATTTTGTTGACGATTGGGGCTGCATATGCTAGCAATAAGGAGAAAATGGACAAAATGAGTGGTACCAAGCGAGAGAAAAATTGTTGTTCGCCCGTCATGCCAGCGTGCGTGTTTGTATTGGCCTACTCAGCGACTCAATGCAGACGGTCCGCAAAGTTGAACCGAGCTCAACTTTTGCCGATCCGTCTGGGGCTGGTTTGCATTTTACCGCGACACCTCCGTTTGGCATGTTTCCATTGGTCCACATTGCAGTTTGCATCTCGATGGCGTTGGTACACCATAAAATCAATCTCTTTTGGGCGAGGTGTGGTTCTTAAAAGTACCGGTGAGTGTTAACGCGTTGCTCTTTGCATTTCTTACGCCAATATGGAAACCAGACTTAAGGTTAATTTTGTTTTTAAAGAGGGAGAGTAGCTTGAAAGGATTTGCTAAAAATGAAGGAATATTTGAAGCCTTACCTTCTCCAGCTTCTTGCGGATGTTCTCGAAACGTGTGCGCTCCACGCGCAGACTGTCAATCTCCTCTCGAAACTTGGCGTTCTGGGTCAACATGAAGTTGAACTTCTCATTTGCCTGTTGTGAGAAAAATTAACATATTCAACAGAAAATTCAAGTTCATCAGAGACATTTAACAGCCCAGAACTATTTTCAAATTAACTTAACATTAATTAGTCCACAGTGCTTAACACAAATCACTTAGGTTTTTTAAGGTACATAGACAAATGCCTATGCGAGAAAACACAGAGACATTGCATATAATCTGAACATCATGCATTATGAATTTAACCTGACATTGTTCCAAATGAGCAACTCCGATATTTCCAGTTGGGAAACGAACCTTACTCCGTAAACTGCTCATGATTACAAAGACATCCGTTGCGAGTATAGACAATTCCGGTGACCATGGTAACGCCATCACTGGTTATTCACAGTAGCCCCCCTAAAATGGCGGTGAGCATTGTGACAGCTATTGTACAGAGCCACTGTTCTGAGACAGTAGCTCCATGCAAATCCAACACAATGCTTACCACCATTCATGGGGGCCATCCAGAGTGTCCAGTGAAACATCAGTGGATTCGACTATACGTGTGAAATTTTGAGTTTGAATTGACGGAGGGTGTATTGATGGTCATTAAAACTCAAATTCTTGAAGCATTAGTCTGTGCACTATGTGCATGTCTCAGGGAAAGTCAACAATTTTGTCCAACATGTCCACAAGAACAATATGTCAAAATTTGTGAAACTGTCAAAATGATGACACAACAGCAGCATAAAACCCTGAAATGCTTAGAACAATTAAGACAATGTTTCAGTGACTATACCGGAAACAATGGTACTGCAGGAATCCCCCCTTCCCGGACCCCAAGGTGTTTTAGAGTGAAGCATCAGTGAGTTTACTGTTTACTACAACTGTGGGGGAGCACATAAGCTGGCGGCAGCTTTTGGTGACGGTATATCAACGGAGGAAACAAGCAGACCGGCGGGCTCACCTGGTGCAGTCGATTCTCCTTCACGCGGATGGCCTTCTGCGTCTTCTGGGTGTGCTGTGCGCTGGCGTGCACACCGCCCATCTCGCGGTGCTGGCCGCGGATCTCTCGCTCCTTGGTCCGTATCTTGTCTTGAATCTCACGCTGCTGGTCTTTCTCTTCCGTAATCTTCTGGTTGTAGTCATCTAGAGTACGGAGGTTTGGGAAACAAAATTAGCAATTGCTGAGGAAGTTTGAGGGCCCTACATCTCAGTCCTAGCAGAATTTTACCCTTTTTGCCATTAAGAAAGAGTCTGCTAAGTTCGAAACATCAAGCCTCCTCTGCGGCCAGCAAGCAGTTTGCATATTCTATTTCAGATATAAATTTGCTTAATGCAATCAAAGTTTTAATGGCATTTCTAAGGTTTGATATTCACTAACTCAAAATGTATCCAGCAGAACATGGGAAGTAGGAATACTGAGAAACACGTAGCTGTCAAGTTGGTAAAGGTGACACTTTGAACAGCCAACAGTAAAAGTGCCAAAAGTCAGTTCAGTTGAAGGCTATTTCCATTTCCATTTTAAAAGAAGGAAATATATCCCATCATTCAGCAACGAACTCCTACTCCTGAATTCTCAACATGATGATTTGTTATAAAAACTATTAGAATTAAACTTTTACTAAAGCAGGCATATGCAACCAGAAAGATACAACTTCAGCTGATGTTAAGTGGGCTGATCTTCTTGACATTGCAAGAATGTTGAGTGCTTTCCAAAGTCTTCAGGGAAAGAGACGAATCCAAAGGTACTTACTGGGATCTGAACCTGCAATTTCCTGTTCATAACTTAGGGACTAAGGAGTCTCATTGATACCACTATGAGATCTTCTGGCTGATTTCGCTCCTTCGCTTTAAAGAATGTAACGCTACATGCGATATGATACAGATTCGGTGGTCAACAGTAGCTTCCTTACCTCGAATGGAGCAGAGCTCGGTCAGCCTGTCAACGTTGTTGCTGTCCCTTGCCTGGTTGGTCTGGCTGTCGGACAGGTACAGATCTTTGTTTAATTCCTTCTTTTCTGCTTCCAGCTGACTAATCTCCGCCCTGTTGGGAATGAACATTCAAAAGCACTTTGTATTACAACATTCAAAATACATGTAGAAAGACATTACACAACCAGGCCATAAAAAGTAATGGCAATTACATGGTATTTCATAAAAGCTCTTTCATTAGAGGAACAAACATACATGTAACTTCACTTTTACTGCTACCCCTGATCGCTGGGCCAATAACAGAGTCAATTCTGAACAAAAGGTGGCATGATGGTAACAGTTTATCACTGTACCTGCTGGCTATAATCAACTAGGAAGATAACCAGTCTGGCCTCAACTGGCCGTAGAGAAGTAAGTTACTGCAAAGTGACTTGCCCTGGAACATAAACAACTGGATTTCCTGAAAAACTGATGACCATTAGTAAGCTGAGACAAGGATTACGGACGAACAAAAAGGCCAACTTGGGACTTACAGTTGTCGGCGGATCAGATCCTGAGACTCAATGCTGTAGGCGTTCCGGTCTCCTTCCATGATCCGGTACTGCCGCTGCAACTTGGCCAGCTCGGTCTCAGCTGTGGAAAAAAATTGAGGATTAGACAGTGAAGTTAACCAGTAGCTTGGTGACATGAATCCTTACATAAGAATATCATTCTACATATTTTTCGATGCCCAAATACCCCCCAAATAGCTTGAACATCCATGGTATCTGCAAGTTTTATTTCTAATCCGATTTTAAATTGACCATGTAATAAGAGATTTAAAGACAGAATTATATTCCATGTAATTTTGACATACGAATAAGTCTGATCGTGAACTTACCCATCTGCTGGTCAGCATCAATGTCGCTGATGTCTGACCGCCGACTGGCAGATCTCTGTCCTCCTCGTGGCATGGTGGTTGGACTCTGGATGGTTTGAACTGGAAGGTTGGAATGAGGTTTGGCTTTTGTTCTAGAATTAAATCAAAACATCAACATGATCAATGATTCGACTTAGTCTTCATGCCAATCATGGTCTTCGGCCTAACACAAATGGCAAATTCAAAGCTGTCTCTTATCCTCAAATAAGAACTCGAATTTTAAGCAAGAAACACATAGATCATTACCCCTGTTCCTTTCGTCGTCGTTTGAGGATATTTTGACAACTGACAAACGCAACGCCACAAATGTTAGGCCTAATCATGGAGGAATGTAATGTTCCGCAACAGACATGACAGATCGGATAACACCAAAGCATGCAAAGTTAATTTGAAGCTTGCAAAACTATTTCTCGGTAAATGCATTTCCTTTTCCACACTTAAGGGGCCTAATCTTTATTGTAGATACATTTCTACATCACTAAAAAACCATTTAAATGTTCCAATCATGGCTCCAATTAACTATCACTTCCTTACCCTCTTTCTCCGCTACGAACTTCGTTTTGGTCTCGCTGTAATAATGTCACTTGTAGTCTAGTAATATAAACCACCTCAATCAATCATGCAAATACACGGCGAGCGCACTGTTTTGATACGTCGTCTGGGTTACAAAGGGCGCCACCACCACCATTTCTTAAAACGTTGCTGTCAAACGACGATTCGTCCACAACGGCGCCGTCTTCGACACGCACCCCGATTTTCGGAAACCTGGGCCAAACATGGGTCGATTTTATTGGAAAAAAACGCAAAATGTATGCAACAAAACCAGATATTGGAATCTTCTCATTTGATCCGAGATTTTAAAGGCCTGAAATGGTAGCAGGGTCAGAGACGAACTGCAGACGTAGGCCAGTTTTGAGAAGGGCGATTATGCATGAGTGTCCGGCGTGTTGGAAGTACTCTGCATTAAAATTTCGTATCACTTGTAAGAATATTCATAAAACTCTTCAAGCTTTAAAACTAATAGCTCTTGCTAATAAAACTGGAAATTCATCAGTAAAACAAACTGGTTTCATTACATTTAGTCTGTATTCTGAAACCACAAACAAAGGAAACTAAACATGAACTAAAAAAGGAATTAACAAAAAATCTGCTGTTCAGAGAATAATTAATCAGTACTGAAGAAATCCATGCTAAATTGTATGTCGCCCCCTTGCAGAGATTATTTCCAGGATTTAGTGAAAGTTTAACCTTCAAACCTGTTGACTCTGAATAAACAACCAGCGGCTTTAACGAAAGAGGATGCTTTGTGACAAACATTTGCATCAATAAATCACAAACATAATCTTCACGAGTGGAGGAATATTTCACATAATTATAATTAAGACATATAAAATACTTTTCCAAACTTTAAAGAAATTAACAACTGTAAAGATATTGTAGCATGCAATGACACCCCCCCTATTATGGACCCAAACCTTCAACAGCAAATAACAAATTAAAGTTAAAGACTGCAATCAAATTTACACCCTTAGCGTAGATGTGAAAACTTTGATTAATGGCATTTTGGGCATGGATCTTGTAAATAATACAAGTCAAGGGAATATAAAATTTTAACCTCAATTCACTGCAACCAATGAATCTGTGTTGACCAGAACAGAATTGCTGTTTCTTCATTCAAACCCCGAGGCAAGTTTCATCATTTGAAATGTGTGGCAAATTTGCACACCAAGAAATGCCCAATGCTCATCTTTGTTCATTGAACAAATGACCTACTATTGTGCATATCGAATTCTCCTGAGCAACTGCGTAAAATCTAGATGAGAAATCGACTATTCTTACAAACCCTAGCTGAAAAATCAACTTTCAAAACTATAAGCCAAGACCCACTGAAGTTCACGGATGTTTGTTTTTATATTGCAAATAGGCAGTTTCCAGTAATTTCAGGTAATAACTGGCCTTCTGTTTTGAGACAAGGAGTAAAATTACTCAGATGGGCTGATACATATTTCAGATCATTAATTTTGGACCAAAGAGGACCTTTGTAAATTTCAAGCATCTAGCTTAGCCAATCCGGAAAACTCTTTCAAGAAAAATATCCTTTGATTGGTTACCAAGGTTGAATCTGTTTACCGTTAACCACTTCACAAATCAGCACACACTGGAAATGTTACACGTCAGCCAAAGGAGTATTCGGGAACACTAATTCTATCATTTGGGCTCTAGGACCAATGAAACTTGATATTTTTCTCGTCAGCCAATCACAGGTTGCGTACATTGCAAACAGACACAATGAGCCAATCAGATCAAAGCACATACATCTCTTGATCCGACACTGCAAAAGCTTACCAACTTGAATCATCCGGTGAGTCTTGTATTTGAAATGATTAGGCCATCTTTTCAGATATGTATAGCACTTTTCAAAAACATCAGCCATTCATTCGATTACGCTGCTTTCAACCACTCACTAAATGGTCACCAACTCGCTTACATCAACTTAGCCCATTAAAAATGCTACAAGTATAAAGGTAAAACAGGACAGAATATGCATTATATAGTTCAGACTCGGTACTAATTCAGACAACGCAGGAAAAGTAAAATACCCTCGAATATCAAACCTGCCGTTGGATTCAGTTTAACTGGATCAAACAAAGACTATAATGGAAACAAAACTATTTTTCATCCACGTGGCCAGCGAGTATAATGCATATGGGGATGATAAACTAACAATAAACTTTAAAGGACCTAATGCCCAGAATCTAACACCCCCAAAAAGGTTAATTTACTCCCCCAACTTCCCAAAAGGACGTGTCTATAATGAAAATCAAGAATTTAATTAATCAGCAGAGTGGGCTGAATGCTGGGGAAAGCATTTTTTTCTCCAAGACTGACAAGCAAGCTGGCTGACTGGAAACAGTCGGGTGGGATTTATGTGGGCGAGTGTCACATCATTCGCAAATATATCTATTACCATCAGCCTCTCTACATGTGTATCCTAAACCCTTGCCATTCACCGGGTTACCTCCATTGAGTCCACTCTAAAAAATAAATACGGCGCCCTCGGGTCTGTTCTAAAAACTGTGGATGTGAAGTGAGTTGGGGGGGGGACAGCAGAGAGAACTCCGCAGATTTCAGTCTCCTTCCTGTCCTTCACTCTTTGCTCTTGGCAAAGTTGACCCGATAGAGCCTGTTGAGCTGTTCCAGGAAGATGAAGGTGAGGACGGTGTGGGGGCCCAGGCGGGTGTAGTAGGGCGTGAACCCCTTCCAGAGACTGAAGAAACCCTCCTTGCCGATGGTCCTTCTTAACACGTCCTGAGGACGAGGGGAGGAGAAAACAGACAAATACAAATGTCAAGGTAGATGAGGGCATCTTTTTTTCAAAATCTCAGCTTTATCTCTGTCTTAAGAGTTAGCTTTCATAAAATAAGATAAATTATATAATATCCTGAGAATTTTTTGACGTGAGAGGCGTTTTTAACAACATAAATAACACTGTATCTTTTTAGAACTGACTTCAAGACATTTGATATTGATAAACTGGTGAAACAAATGACAGCAGCAGAAAATAAAAATGAGAACTTACAATAGCACCGGAATACTCTGGTTTGCCGTCTATAATCCTCATGTTCTGAATTCTGGCGCAGAAAAGTGAAAGAAGACACTTTTTTAGTGGCAATTCCTCAACTTTTTTCAAAAGTAGGATGTCAGAGCAACGCTCATTTAAGGCCATTATAGCTGTCAGCTCTTACCTTGTTTTTGCAATATCTACCGGCATCGATGCGATGGTTGTGACTAGACCACTGATCATGCTTGCTCCAAAGTGGCACAGTATGTTATCTTGGAAGTAACCTGTTGTCAAGGAGACACAAACAGGCGAAGAATCGATTTTCAATACGGCGGGCTTTCAACATGACCTGTTGCCCAGGTCTTGACTTTTCGAAATGAAATACGAAGAGCAATGTATAATTCAAGGGCTATAAAGCTTTCCCATATTCAACTGCCTGAAATGGTTGTCTACCTATTACCTGCTGCTTAATTATAAAAACGGGCAGTGTTTCCAGAAGGAACAGATGAAGTATTCTTAGGCCGTTTTCCAATACTCAACTTCGTCTCCGTCTCAGGCTTGGTGTAGGAAACCAGTCCCCGATTGTGGGCCTGAAGCGTTTAACTGAAATTGAAGTACTGTAATGTTTGGCTCTTTTGCATCTTACTCGATGTTTTGTGGCGCTATCAGACTTACTATTGCGCTCACAACCTTAAAGTCAGGAAGTCAAAAAACAGTTGAAGCCTCAGATGGAGCCAAAGTCGAGTATTGGAAAACGGCCTTAGATATGAGTTGATCCCAAAGACCTCTCTGCCTCAATCGATTACCTGTGCCCAGGAGAAATTGCTTGGCTTGGGAGTAAGAAGCAAGCTGCGCTGCGTTGACCACCATGGCTCTGGCTATGGTGGGACCGCAACCCTAATTGAGAGTGACGTGGAAGAAAAATAGAAATGAATGGACCGCACGCGGGGATTGCTTCCCACAATGCTATGGAGTGCTGGAGTTTCACTATAGAGGTCTTGCATGGCTGCCATCTTGCAGGCCAGTGCTTCTGTTCCACAGGGTATGCACTAAGGAGATTACCCTGTGGAACAAAAGAAATGCCCTGCACAATGGCTACCACGCAAAGCCTCAACAGTGCCGACCTCAATCATCTACTCAAAGCAGGTTTTCAGGCAAACTGTCAGTCCTTCACTTGGCTGAAGTGCACTTACCCTCCATAGTGTTACAAGGCCTTCTTCCCTTGTTATCCTAGCCAACGCGTTGAACACACTGGTGTAACCTCTTCTCTCATTGGCAGGTAACCTTTCAAATTAAAAGAGAAAACAAGTAGCTAACTAACCAATCAAAGCATCCCTTACATATGAAGGTGACTGCTTATTGCTGGAACGCTGTCAGGGACAAGTGAGCCGAGTCCTGGATTTGAATGGCAGGCATGCAATTCAGATTAATTCGAATGGACAAATCGCAGATCAGTAAGCCTTACAGCAGGGCAGCCCACAAAAACCTCTCATAAAAGAAACACTGGTCATATCTAGACATGCACTGGACAGGTCTGGCAAGAGTACATTCGCAGGACCAGAAAGGGGTCTACCTGCCATCGGATGTCATTCTAATGAGGGAGATTTCGGCTGGAGTCCCGACAAAAGCCCCCGTTGCTCCAGCCGTCAAACCTGGAGAAGGACAAAGCAAAGTGTTGGACAGTTTAACTGGAAAACAAGTAAGTTATGAGTGTATCGTATGTTTTATTAATAATATGAATAGTAATATTAAACGGATCTTGTTGACAATCAACTGCTATTACCTATTACTGCCTTCATGAAGAAGTTTGGTGGTTTTCCGTCAGGCCTGCAGAAAGAAGGGTCAAAGTAGAATAAATACACTTCTTCAATTACAACAAAGTTTCTTTCTCCCAAGCTCCACGCTAAAACACCTCCATTCATGAGATCTCTGAGGCGTTGTCAAGCAACGTGTCTTCAACAGAATGGCCACACATGCGCCTCACTCGATCAATCGTCCCTGTCTTAAGCATGTCAAAACCCTTCCAGAAAGGTGAGGCAACAACTCACCCGGACACCATGTCAAACAGGGTGGTGTAGATCCCCAGCCTGGTGGTTGTGTAGGTGGCTTGACGGAGCAGACCTGCTGACAACCTGAGGAACCCCCCCCCCAAAAAAAAACACAACTGTAATAAGCGATTACTGTTAAAAGTGTTCCGAGCTGATGTTGCTTTGGCTCTTTATCCCTTTTTCCCTATTAAACACTTGGGTCAGATTGGTGAAATTACCACTTGACAACTCACTGGTCGATTCTGCCTGGTATCCAGGCCACATTTTGAATACAGATTACCAGGGAATATCGACCAGTGGTCAATAAATGGTTGCCACTCAAAATGCTTGCTTCCTGAACGATGCAGTTGGTATCAAAGTTAGTTTTTTCCTAACATCTTCCTGGTAGAAACCTCGATGCTAACTTGTGATCACATCCTCCAAATGAGTCTTCAGGTCACATTTTGGATAATCCTGTTTTAGAACGAGCAAACGTCGTTCTTTGTTTTGATGTAACAGTCATTTTGGCATTCCAATGAATGGTAATATTAACCGGATCAATGAACAATTTCCGGGGGAAAAAAAATGTTGTGGGTGATTTATACTGTGTGAGATTGTCTTGAAGGCCTTTTGCTCAAAACTTGCTCTGGTGACTCGTGACTCATTTGTTTGGTTGGATCATAATTTACCCTCCTCCCTAGGCATTTTACACGAGTGAACAGATTTCCCTGATGAATTTTGACACAAGAAACAGTAAGACTGCCATTTCAATGCTGCCAGAGAATCGTACCCATTGTACATGCCCAAGAATCCTTCATTGGTTATGATTGCTCTGATGGCATGACCGCTGGTTTTGTACTGTCTGGATGCACCGCCCTCGCCTGTTGAAAGCAAGAAAATGGATGATTTGGAGAGACAAGAACCTATCCAGATGCAAATCTGACTAATTCATCTCCCCAAAATTTGAGATACATGATTTTTAAATTGTTTGGGGAAAAACTTCAAAAAGTGTGATCTAAAGACAGTTTCAACAAAAATTAAACAGGTACCATATTCCAAAACCTAAAGACATTTACCAGCAACTATTCAAACCCGTGAAAGTAACAGTTAACAGGTCACGATACACATGTGGCCTATTTTATGGCCTGGTTCATCCAAGCAACTGAATTTCCTTTGAAAAATCCAAATTTTCAGCGAGATGTTAGCATTTACTTTTAGTTCTGACTATTTGCCAATGACAGATTGCTGTGCATAAGTCTAGACTGGGTTACCAGCATATGTAGTGTACAAAATGCTGGTAGCAATGGGATTAACAATAAAATACGTGCTGTCTTTATGTGCACAAAATATCCGGGTTCAACAGTACACAACTTACCACTCATTTGCATGCGATTCTTCACCAGATCTAAAGGTTGCACAAAGACAGTGGCCCCCATCCTGTTCAAACGTGATAAACATTACTCAGTTCTTCCTCATGGTGCTTTTTAAGTTCCTTTTTTTCTTTCCAAACCAAATTCTAATGAACATCCTTTGTTTAAAATTAAATCTTATATAGAACTGCAAGGCATGGACATGGAAAGTGTTCCATACACGGACACCACTTGACATCCCGTGCACAAACCCTATGAAACTGGCCTGAAAAATTCAATTTTTTTTCTAAGTAAATGACTTCGTATTTTCCCTCCTAAATTAAACTTTTCTGGACACGTCTTTTGCTTTCTGGTGGCTAATAGGTCACTGTAGGGAATTACTGGTGTCTTCCCCTGGACATACAGGTACTGCAGTGGATGATTTTTAGAGACAATACAAATACAGCCCCAAACCACTCCAGTTTTCATTCACAGTCTTGGTATTGGTGCTGTTCGGTGCAATCCTGAATCCAACCAAGGCCTATCCAAAGTTACTTTGTCTTTGAACATGTTGAATGAGATCCATTCATAGTGCATGTACTACTGCAGTCAGCAGGAAATTTAAGCAAGAGTCCAGGAATCAGGTCAACTCGTAACCAGGTAAACTTGTATCCCAAAACTCCCACCCAAGTCAACTCGTACGCAAGTCAAGTCGGACTCCTACGCCGGTCATCTTGTTCCCACGTCAACTTGTACCCCAGCAAATTCGTACCCAGGACCATTCGTACCCAGGACAACTTGCACTCCATACAATTTATTTGATTTCAGTACTTAAAAGGAATTTCTAAAGTGAAGGAGAGGATTGTATAATGTAATTAATCAGAAATACAAAAGTGAATTTTCCTCAGTGTTTCATTTATTTGACGTATAAGGAGAGATCATAATATTGGTAAGGAGAGATCATAATACTGGTAAGGAGAGATCATAATACTGGTAAGGAGAGGATTGCAACATTATCCTTGAATATACTCGTAAAGCAGGTGTTTTTTTATTCAGAAAATCTCAGGTGGTATCAAATGTCAGGTGGTGTCAAAGTCCAGATTGAGCTGAATAATCCCATGCCCATAAAATACTAAACAACAAGCCTACTACTAGGCCCTATTAAAGTATTATTACTATTTACTAAGCACTATTCGTAAGCCCAACTACATTATAAGTATGGACCGATACGGATCACGATTATGACGGTCAAACACAGCCTGGCATGATATATTTTATGGCAAGGGCCTCCTGCTACACTGTTGCTACAATGCTAGCCTCACTATGGCATGCTAATGTACAGAGTACGTTAGGCTCAACGCCTATGCCTAGCCTATGCAGCAATAATCACCTGATTACCGGCAATTAAATTTGTAAAAAGCAAACTTACAGGCCGAGCAATTATAAAGAATCAACTCACTAAATAGCCTGTGACTAGTCAATCAACCTCACTTACCCAGCTAGACCTCCATAGAGGAATTTCACTGGTTTGGGAATCTGCACTGGCGGGACGGGGGCCTTCGGTTTTGCATTCGTGGACGTCGCCATCTTGAAATGAGATTACCCCTGACTGCAGAATTTAGAACGTACAGTTCAACATTATAGGCCTTCACCCAAACCTCAGCTGGTCAGTCCATGGAAGTCCTTCCACCATGGTCAGTCCAAAGGGTAGATGTTACTTCTCAAAACCACTATCAACGCCACAGGTCGATTTGGAAAGGAGGTCGCAGGAAAACGAGATCGGTTTAAAAATAGCAGATATGAACAGCCCTATCAGAGATAATAGGTGTCGAGTAGTGATAATATGATAGGTTTTTAAGATAAATTACTCCGGGACCGTCTTTCCTCTACGCCGTATAAGTTACAACCCTTGGCGCAAAGGCCACAGGTCGATACGATGTCAATTGGAGGATACATAATAGTATCTCTAGGGTTATTTTTGTCCGGGAGTGTTTGGAAGGTCTATGCATGGTGATTGCTTGTAGGAATGGAGAAAAAAGAGAGAAAAATGATATTTCTGGTCTAGGGAACATTCCCACTACCACGCCCATGCACGAAGTTCGTGCTGTGCTTCGTACACCGTGTAACTGGGGAACACCTTAAACATCGTAGGTCGAATTGGAACAGAGGAGAAAGAGATGTCAGAAGTTGAAAACTTGCCGGAAAGACGACATATCTTTAATTTTTTTCCGAGTTGTTTTATTTTCCTTTGAGGCATTCGATGATATTACTATTATTAAATGTCCATGTTTAACCATTTTTATCTAGTGCCGGTAACTTCGAACAGTTACGGTGAAATTATGAGAAAATCAAAATTATATATAGGGAGACTTTTCCGTCGACCTGCACGTGGTGTTTGACGTGGTTGTTGGCCTGTTGAATGGAGTATCACAACAGCCCAGGGCAAAAGTATCAACTCGTATGTCGTATTTCAAAGTTGAAGACAACTTCCCCAAATACTGTTACTTCGTTTATTTGGCTCCTTTTATGGAAGACACAACTCCGCAAGCCACCAAGGCCTACAATTTCCCAATAGCCGACCTGTAGTGTTAAATTCGAGATAATGCTTCGGTCAAACCAGTAACAGAGTTCATGGCTACAAACCCACAGGCGAAAATTAATATCTAGCACCCATAATTACGTATCTACACCTGTAATTAACAAAACTCCACGTGCAATTTCTCTGTCGACTTGGCCTCTTTCCAGGCAAAGTACGGTATACCCAGGCGAACTGCATAATGCTGCAGTCAACCTATAGCGTTTGGGGTATTTTTTTGGCAGCACAAGCACAGTTTGTGAGTACTTTTCAATGATTATGCTAACAACGAAAGGTGCACAGGGCTTGTGAGAATTTCTCCTTACTCAGTTCACCGCCACGGAAAATCAAGAACAAGTGAGTCGTCAGCGGCCCTGAACCAATAATCGACCTCAGTGTGGCGTTTGAGATGATTTGATGTGATTCACCGGTGAGGGCGCTCTCTAGACGCAAAGCGGAATCCGCCCCTCGACATTTTTCCAATATCGTCGCAATGCAATATTTTCAGAAGTTGAACCTTTACGAGTTTTAGAGTAACTCTTCTTGGTCATTTTGACACCAATTCTGCGAAAACTGAACATACCGTCCTTAAAGCAATGTACACTTTTTCCACTGTAATACTCAGATCACGCACAATGGCACGCATGCAGCCTTGAATTTCAAATAACCGTAACAAAACCATACATTGATTAAAATTCAGTCTTCACCTTTGTAACGA